TACCAGTGTGTACTTCAGAAACTGCATAACTGTGTAAAATGCAAAATAGTAAGGTAATAAACAATTATAAACTTGAAAATAATACGTGAAGGTTTTGGAACCGTAATTCTGTGTTGCTTCATTGGCTTGAAAATAATAATTTTAACTTTGTGGTAATTCCACCTTTATTTTTCCCGACTCAAAGATGCGGTTCATGCATCCTATGCACTACAAGTGCTCAAATACCATAGCGCCGTAGCTTCTGTAAATGACCCCACCAATAAGTGCATATAAACAATGCAATGGAATGGACGAGGCTGCCGTATGACTCGAGGTATTACCGCCATCTGTTATACACTACGGCAGAATTGACGTAAGCCGACTCGGGTAGTTATAAATATATGAACTAACAGAAATTTCCACTGGCAAAGCTATGATGGTTATTGGAGCGAGCAAGTAAGCAAATCTCATCGTCACGTAACGGTTGCAATCTCGACAGGGGAAAAACTTTTATTATTTTCAGGATAATAAAGGAACACAGTGATGGGGTTTCGAAATCTTCCTGTTCAATAAACACCTGACTGCTGATTTTACTATGCTTGATTATCCTATTATTCAATGACAAGCGCTGTTTGTTCGAAATATTAACATCGTTTCCCATGTGTGACTAGCTGATAGGGAGCTGCATGTAAAAGGCAGAGAAAGTTTTTACTGCTGACGGTCTTCTGTCATATGGGTAAGGTTGATCGTAATTTCTATGCATAGTCTGATAGCCATGAATTGTTTTGCGCGTCTTCTTGGCTTCCTTCTTTGCACGGCATATTGCAGAATAGATTAATGAAGGCCGGTGGTATTATTAGTAATGTGTGAAAGAACGCAACGGCAGTACAAACAGATCGCGATATAACGTATCAGTTACATTCGGCAAGCGTTTACCCGATCTTAAAATAAGCCATATTTAAAAACTCTCTCCCCTCCACCCTCCAGTTAATCATACCCTACTGCTTACAGTCAGAAGATCATTTTTATATGATTACTTTATATATCACTAATTATCATATATAAAATTAAGATGATCACATTTGATTTCAATATGTGATCATTAATGTACAATATTATAATGCAGCATAAATACGATGAGAAATAGAAAATTTAATAAAATGTTCTATCTGACCGTTCAACCCTGCATTTTTAATTACACAGAATTGAACAATGACTTGTTTCTTTCGTCCATAAATCATTATCGCATTCAACCACAGCGTACACGAAAATTAGAAAGTGATGAAATGCATGAACAAAAATACACAACAGAATCGTGTTCAACAGCAAATAAAGACACAGGAAGGATCACGAATATATCGTGTGGACTGAGTTGCAGAAGAGCTTTATTGGATGGCATGGGATAACGTAAACGCGTTAAGTAATTTTTTATAATTGGAGATAATTTGTATAAGTTAAATTATTTAAGTTGGGGGGGGGTCTGTTTATATTAAATAAGATTTAAACCCTCTGTACTCTCCTGTATTTAAACTGCCAAATATTCAAAAGTGTTTTGAAGAATAAACAGAAAATGAACGAGGTTTTAAAAGTAAATGGAATCGAAAGAGAATAGGATTTTTCAAAAGTTTATCTAATTACGTTGTCTTGCCTTTGGCTCTCCCCTAGAAACCTGATTTCTAAACGTAACAGCAGCCGATAACGCTACTAATGCGAAGTCATGATCCTAAGCATATCCTCAGCTGTAAAATGGTAAACCGCAGTGTCAAAGATGTACTTTCACAACTGAGAAAAAATTATGTTTAATCTATGAACCTGATCTGAATTATTGACGTCAATTTCGGACCAGTAAAATCCTTCCGGTAAGCTGTAAGGTGTCGCACGAACGTCGGCAGGTGATTTCTGAGGTTCAATTGGACCGTCGGAGTCCACATCTTGGTCTGAAAAAACTTTTGTTTGAATTAAGTATCGCATGCCTTAAAACTATTTATAATTTATTTATTTAACAATAACTCTAACTTTTTATTTTATAAATTATACATGAAAATGAAACTCAGATCGCACATTCAGGACAGCGAAAATAAACTTACAGAAAACTTATGTTCGCACCTCGCGGTCTCAAGGAAAACAACTTTAAAAGTAGAGCTGCGCTATGTATGAAAATCCACTGTAAACTACTT